CTTTAATGAGTCAAAAGTGGGAAACAAAGTCACTCTGAGTGGAGGAGTGTAGTGTAGGGAGACCCAGAGGCAGGAAAGAGTCTGCAGTCCTTGTCTGTGGAGAAGCTGCTGCCTGAGATTGGATCTGCCTGCCCCATGAAGGAGGAGAAGCCAGAAAGGCCCCACCAAGCCGGACTTGAGGGGACATTGCAACCCAGGGAAATGAAGCAAGCAAGGAAAAGGGAAAGCAAGGCAAAGCCATTCAGCTATCCTGAAACCAACATCCAGGATCTCTATCCTCTGCCCAGCACCATGTCCTGAGTTCCTTAAGTATGTCTCCACGGGGATTTTCCAGCATCTTGATCAGCGGAGGTACCGCCTGCCAAAGTAGCGGCCAGAAATGCCAGACAGGTCACAGCACCCAGAGTTGATGGGCACTCCCTCAGAGCTGAGGTGGAGGAGCCCACAACGGTGTTTTGTGGGAAGGAGCTGAGGATGGGTCCGGGCAGGGTCACCACCACAGGGGAGGGCTCAATGACGACGTGGGAGTCCTGGCACTGCCTGACACAGGGCTCATTGCAGCTGTTGGCCAGCGGGGTCGGGCCGCAGGGCCGGCAGGGCAGGCACGGGTTGTAGCAGGACATGTCTGTGGGCTGGAGCTGCACCTGGGAGAGAGGACAGAGATGTAGCAGGCACAGGCGTGAGTGAGGAGCAGCCTCATTGCACTGTCACAAAGGAAGCAAGGCCACTATTGAGTGGAGATCTGGAAGCTGTGCCAGGAACCACATGGTCTTCATTGCCTTATCCAGCCATGACCTACAGAGTGCAGCCTGACCCAAGGAAGCTCTCTCCTATTGCATAAACCAAAAGCCACCTCAGCCACATCCCAGCCTCTCCCTAAGCTGAACTTCTCCGTGCATCCCTCTGTGATGACAAGTTGCTCTAAGCCCCAGCACCGTACAGAGCAAACATCAGCTTAGAGATACACTGAATGGAGGTCTCACTTTGGAAGAGTAGGAGAAGGGGATTCACACTCACCTGGTTCCCAAGGAGAAGGCGGCAAGAGAAGTGGATGAGAGAGGAAGGACTTGGGCTGCCTTTTATACCTGCCCTTCATTGCCGCAGGACCAGAGGCACCCTTTGCAGAGGTAATAATTTTCAGGCAAGCTCATCTTGAATGAAACTATCATAGCTAATGCTATGGGCTAGGCTTTCATTTCCTGCACTGCTGCCTTTTCATTTTCAGATTTATGCCATGCCCATTCCCCAATGAAGGCTTCTTTTGAGCACTGGGATGAGAGGTCTCAGGATTTCTAGGGCAGGAATGCAGCAGTGCAGGCAGAAGGCTCAGCTCAAGTGCTGGATGGGACCAGAGCAGGCAAGTGACATTAACCTTCAACAGAAAGGCTTTTTTAAAAGCATATCACAAGCCCATGAAACCAGAAGTCTGGCTTTGGTAAGAAATATATGATCAAAATCAAAATTTATAGAGAAACTCCTTTGGGTTCCTCCTTGAGCCCTGTCCAACCTTTGGGTAGCATCCAATGGTGGGGGGGTGACACCAGAATTTTCTGCATCTGAGGTTTCAAGAATAGTTTATTCAACAGTATAAAAGCTGGACTCTCTTGCAGCAGCTTTGGAGACCTCACCTATGAGTGGACACACTGCATAGGACCTCCCAGTTGCCAGGACAGGTTCTCCAAATCCTGGCTGCAACCAAGGCTTCCCAGTGACTGTGGATCTGGATGATGGTAATGTATTATTAGGCAATTGGTGATGTATCTTTCTTAATCAC